CTGGATATTCATTGACTGTTACTCAAATGCAAGCAAATGCTACAGAGCGACTCCGCAAATTCCATACCAGATCTCACTTTTCAAGAGACGCAAAGTAGATTTACGGGAAAACGTGCTACTCGCATGCCCCTCATCAGTAGTATCACCGTTACAACCCCAGCGACCAAATCCAAATTTACCAGGTGTTTTTTTACGTGTGGCCTCAGTGTGGTCTGGCAAAAGTTCGGACAAAACAAATCCCAGGTAGGTTGGACGTCAACAAAGGACACTCCTATGCTAGTATCCATCTAAATTTGTACAGGCACCTAGTCGATTTCCGCTGGAAACGAAAAAGGAATGTGGTATAGAATTAATGCTATTTAAAGTAAGTTGCAAACACATAGGGACTGTTCCCCCTCCATCTGTCCGAATGAATAATGCACGAGATATATCGGTTTCCTGGTGAAATTAACCCCTGGCTTTCGACGTTAAACAGTTCCTTTAACGCAAGCCCACCTACTTATACCAATATCTCACAGATTACCTGAGGGAATAGCCGCTTCCAGATAAATTTTTTTCTCTCAGACTACTAGCAAGTAAACACTTCTTCAAGTATCTTTAATTGTCACTTCGTTTGACTTACAATCTGTACCAGTTCAGAACTAGTTAGATGAATAAATTGATCTAGTTCGTTAGTTATACTCACGTTGGTAAACAACGGGGAACGCAAACCCACTCACCAACCTATCACACCATCTTGCATGCGGTTTTAACCTTATTCAATCTGTCTTCGATTTTACTTTGCAGTCAGGCAGCGTTCTTTTCCCCTTATGCCAATGGGTACATCTTCCGAGTAATGAGGCCGCCTAGGTATACTGGCTTGTTTGGCCTGAATTCTCTGAGGCTACCGAGTACTGAACCGGCAGTCTGTTTATTTGTGCCGATGAGGGGGTCGTCCAGATGGAATTGCCATCAGGAATTGCCATAGTTGACCAGTTGCTGGCCAGTTGGGCAATAGGACAAGCATATATGAATTGATTATAAAACCACTTTTCTTACCAATCTTTGACCTTGGTACACTTAAAACGAAAGAAGAGCAGACCCAGCAGTTTATGACAAAACTTACTCATTGTCACTAACATTAGCAATCGTTTTTTTGTGATTTAAATCTAACGCTCGCATTAGCCACTGGTCACGCGATCGATTGTTTCATTGCGTCCTGCTGATTGGTGTAAATCAGGTCACGAATACGCGATTGGATGGACAGGAAACGACCAGAAGACACGCCTAACAGTGCATCAGGTACCGTGTTAGAGACCTGAACAATATTGTTTGATTTTGATGCACCCAGCGCCTGCATAGTGCAAGCTACTGAAGACACTGGTTGAAGTTTTTCTGTGATTGTCCACCATATATTTATGTAAATCTATTTGAAAACAATGTTCTCGATTAAAAACAAAATCCACAAGCACAAAGTGAGAGAGGATACATGAGTGAATGAATCATGAAATCAGATGGAGTCCGGGTCAAACTGGGGAATAAAATGGAAACAAGCCAGCACAAGTCCGAAGGTCCAAACAGAGGAGTCTAGGTTGAGTAATCGAATTCTGATAAATTATGCTACCCACGATGGCTGTAAACGGTCCAAGAGTATTCGGTAACTAGCAGGCCTTGCGAGAAATCCAACTGCACAGTGATCATGCCGCATTTTATAGAAAAATCAGCCAAGATAAGCAGTTATAGTAGAGTGTGAACTTGTTGCGCGATTATCTAGATTGTAACTGTTCAAGTAGGTTTGTACATACTGTACACTGGCCGTCCTTCCGTCTTTGGATGCCCTGTGCGGACTATTAAAAAAAAACTGACCGGCGTAGTCTGATACAGTGGACCGTTTAATCCTTAGCTGTTAATTTAGGGGCAACTGTGAACTCGATGTGGGCCTTGACAAGGAACATTGACTCTGTTTCAGTAAAAAAGATTAAAAAAAGCACTAATGGTTACACCTCATGCCACCAACGACACTGCGCGTACGCCTAAAATAGTAATAATAATAAAACCGAATGACGTCATCCCCTGTTACCTCGTGACGGTCGGTTCCTCGAACATACACCAGGAATAAAAACCCTCTAGATAACAAAATATAGGCAGATTTCATTGGTAGAATAAAGAAACATACATTCTATAGGAAAACGGCGCAAGTGCTACGCGAAAAATGCCGAAAATTAACGACACTAAATCCACTTTCTTCGAATCTGAAGAGCTGTTCCGTTTTAACCGTAATTTGCCTGGACGTCCGGTTATTTTGAGATGCCACAAATACGTATTATATGAGCTTTACAACTAAAATGAAACACTGTAGGCCCAACACTATGCGGAAGTTTGCTCCAAACTGTTCATGTTCCAAAGACCAGTTTCGCCTTCTTGGGGCTTATTAGCCGGGCGCAGTCCCTGAGTTTCCTACCTGAACCCAAATTGCACGAAATTCGGCAAATATATTCATTTGTGTACAGGTTTGATCTTCAAGGGAGACTCACGTGATTTCCAGGTGAATCCATCGTTTATGATATTTTTCTTTAGCTGAATGTGCTGCGCCAGGCCTCCTCAAGTTTATTTTGGCACCATATTCGAACTATTGCGATACATTGTGTAAACTCATAAGATCGGTGAAATCACGAGTGCCTTATCTGCAGTTTTTACAAGTTACGCAAGACCATCCGGGCCTAGACAATCGTATCAGGACCTGAGGGGACATAACAACACTGACGCTACCTGATGCTGTATTACAGAAAAATCTTCAGTTGTACGAACGGTTTCACCTTAAATCATCAAATATTAGCCTTTTTGTATATTATCATAGATCTTGGTGAGATTTTTTCAATGTTAGTTATGGTTTCGGATATAGTAATGCGATGAAGCATAATATATTAACGTTGTGAGCCGAATTATGCTCACAGAGACACTCGAACTTTTACGTAGAGTACAAACGCCTCGCGTCGTGTCTCCTAAGTGGCCCTTAGTTCATTTGTTTAACAGGATTCACAAGACCACTCGAGTTGCGTGACTTAGCGCTCGTCCGAGAGTACTTGTGGCAATAAACCAACGTGAACCGGGACTGGACGTGATTAGCACGACCATCCTTCATCCTATTTGCCCAACCTGTCAGAATCTTTCACGGTGTTTTGTTGGGTACAAACAACAGTAGGAGAGAACATTACTGATGAATTCAGACGGTATCTGCCATATTCCAAATGCTGGTGTTGTCAAAACCGAGACATTTCACGCTCTGTATTAGTATGACGGGTCAAATGGAGGCTTATCATTTATCCTGATGATCATTTCACATGCTAGTGTCAACCAACAGTCTTGAGAAATCGCGTGGCAAAAGATCTTATTTTTAGAGTCCTCCTGCTCTCTAAGAACGTATTGGGATATCTAAAATATCTGAATTTCACTAACATAAACCTGGCCCTTATTTCCTTATCGTCAAAAATGTTCCAACCCCTGATCCGTGAACAAAGGCTTCATAGCATTTTTCGAACGGTATCAGCAAGGCAGTAAGTTGATATTACATCGATAAAACGGGGGTTAGAAGATCTGGATGGCCTTCAGTAAAAATCATGGAATATGAGCCATCAGTACTCTGCTGATCATACTACCTTGAAAAAGACAATACATGCTTTCTCTGCTAAGTGTACACCCGCTTTGTTCTTAGATTTTCGGAAGCTATAGATATGTCCCTTAACTCGATGAAAGTGAATATTGTCAGTGTACTTTGGATTTCTCACCTGTAACGGCTGCAACTAGAATGCGGACACTAGTGTCAAGGAACGATTACCACAGACGACAGTTATGATAAAGAACAAGAACGAATGTCACAAGTATCACCCACAATGAAATCGTTATCCTTTCCCAGCAGCAAGTTCACACATCTATTATTCGCAAAATATGCAAAATTCGAAATAAAGCTGATGCTGGTAACGTATTAATGGTGCATTTTTCTCAACACTCTACGTTTTTTTCTAAAAACGAAATTTTATGCATCGCAGGTTTGCGGTGAGAGGAGAATAACCACTATACGAAATTGCAGGTATATTGGTAAGAACAGCGAGTAGTTCATCTTTGGCTATCACCCCTAAAGAAAACCTATGCAACACTACTGGTTATCTTTCCCGAGAGGCCATCTTACCTCGAGTGACCTTGAACCAACTGACAACTTTGTATGGGCTACTACTGCACGTTCGCACTGTGATGGCCAAGTCTCCAGTCTGCGTGACATCTTTAACGGTCACTACAAAACTGACCGAATCAAATGGGAGCATTTCATCCAGTGAAACTAGCTTTCGGCTCTATTCCTTGACTCCAAAATTTTCATATTGTTCGATTGACTTAATCTATTTACTTCCCTGTTGGACACAACTGAGCTGTGTCATTTGTCCCTCGTTTTGTCGGAAACTGGAAACAGCCATATCCAGAAACAAGGTGAGAGTAAGGGTCACTCCCGTCCAATAGTCAGAATGGGATTGATAATTTGCCCTGTAGATAATAAGGACATTGTCGCTTTCTTTATCTGTAAACAAACGATAGACAACGAAGCCGGAACTGAAATGAAAATAAAATGCTGGATCTGTCATAGCTGGACGTGGTAACTCATCGATCGGCCCAAACGTAGAAGGCTACGAGAGCACCAGGAAAGAGGCTGAATGGTCAGCTACATAATTTCCCAAGGTTGTTACAAAATCGAAAAAGATAAGTATTCAAAGGCAGGTCGTGTAAACTTCATGAGAACGTTGGAATAGTTTTGTGTACGGATTGAATTCAACGAAAAATGTCAATCAAGGGGCCGTCCAACTTTTGGGCATCAAATTAATGGATACTTTATTCGGTGTGGAAGGTGCTCAATTGATAATGCACATATGAAAAGTGACAATAGTGAAAGACGAACCACGATAGATACCTCTTACATTTCATAAAATACAATAAATTGAATTCTCCATTAAGTTGTTTAACTTGCCGGCTATTGTTCACCGGGCAACAGTCGTGGTCCTTACACCACGTCGGTAAGTGACACACTGGGAATTCACGAGCGCCAGAAATGAAACTTGCATGGCAAACACAACACCAATCGTAGCCAGAAGGTAAGACCATTGGTGATCGATTTGTGCCGTATAGACAAGAAGCCCCGCAAGAATCAGAATTACACCAATCAAGAGTGCACACAGCCGTGTTGTGGTGAAACTCGGGTTATAGTCCAACTTTTGTGCACAGCAGTTGATCAGGTCAAGAATCAAGGCTAAGAATAACGCGACCAATCCACTACAGAACAAACCGATGATTGCAATCGTGGTGGCTCGACGCCTGTCCAAACAGCTGGTAAAAAGACCTCCACAACTCCACTCGTTCAGAATCATACTGAGTGTAACGGTAGTCAAAGCGATAATGAGCAAAGAGATCGAAAGAAATCTTTGCGTCATGGCACGGACTGACTACCGATGAACCATGTGCAGCTGGGTTATTGTGTCAGTTTTTCACTCCGCTAACGCCATCTAGTCTGCAGGCCGTTCGTTCCCTCTCGCGTCGAATCAATGGACAACGAATACCTTCACTCTGATTGGCTGTTGATTTTCTCACCTTGAAAATGGCAGTCACGTGCTATGCGTAGTCTGTAGATTGGCGAACGCGCATAGCAGGCTTTGCACGAGGTTTGATTCGCTGATGCTTACGGATGCAGAAAACTGGTACAGGAAAAATGACAGTAAAATAATCGATCACTAGCTAAACAAATCAAGCAGCTAATTTGTAACTAGAAGCGGTGCGACGAACACAACATTGGCAGGATGAAGAGATTTAACCTGACTATTTTCCATACGGTCTTTAACTCAATCGGTACAGCTCTGCAGAATGTTGCGTTTTTTAATTTTCGTGACATAACATCAAGGTGCGGAGGTTGGCTTACGTGGGGCTTTAGTCCAGGGTTTTTAATAATGTAGAGTGGGTGGTTTGCTGTACAACAAAAGACTACAAATTCCGTTGTACACCATCACAACAAAGGAACCAGTACAGCCTATCCAAGGCCGTATGGCTTCCCCTAGTCTACTAGATCCATTTACCGCAGACAAGAAATGAGATCGCAGAAAATGACACAGCTGCTCCAGCCAAAAATGGGTCCCTCAATCCGGCGCGCGCACCTAATTGATGAAGCAACTAGCTATCTGCTGTAGATGTGATGAATAACGGCCAATTTTACAAGAAGCAGCGCTTAATATCATTTCGCGAATACGATGGTCACTTATGGGCCTGGCCTCCAATATAGTGACTAAACTCTCTTCGTTGTCTCCACGACTAGGGCAACTACAAATCCTTCCAATGAAGCCTTTGCCCTTGAGGGAAAAAGCCCCGACCTCCGTTCCAATTTGAGCCACCACCTCTCCTATCCTGGCTTCCAAACCTGGCTTTGGACACAGTGAAGTTTTCTTTTTCACGCGGCCTCCTCATCGGAATTCTCTACGCAAAGTCTTCTGACCCAGAGCTCTCATGTTTCTCGTCGTCGTCATGATCTTTGTCCCTCTTTCAAGAACCACTACTGAAATTCCGGTGGACCTCAGATTTTCAACGGTATTGCCGTCATCTGGTTCAATTTAAACTCCTTTTTCGGCACTGGCTTCTTCAGCGCAAATTTATACCAAGAATGCAATTGCACAGGCTCTATGGACAACTGACTGTGCAGAGGCAGTAGACTGAAACTCGACAACTGCTGATCCATCGAAGGCACCGTCAAGTCTTGGATTCAAATTGATTTTTGACGCATTCGGATAAATCTTGCGCAAGCCAGAATCTGGAGAATCAAATGACTTATTCCTGTTACTTTGAATATCACCTGTAACGCTCAAACGAAGCACAGTTATTTGCGGTACCCTGTGGGCTTACACAGGGCTATTTAATCATGAACTTTGAGAAAACGTCCTGTACTTGTGAGATATTGTTTGGTAGCCATAGAGGGTAGGGACGATATACGGTTGACGGTAGTATCCCCGGAGCATAGACTACCCGAAGAGCTTTGGAGGTTTCAGCGATTGGTGCTTCGCCAGTACGCCGGTAGGACATATTGATCGCACGATTGCTGAATCTTCTGTCTAGTGAGACAGTAAATCCAGTGGCTGAATACGATTCTGAGCAGAATCTCAAAGACTTTAATGCACTTTAATGCATTTAGCATTGCGAGGTACTTTGTCCAGAACTTTACATGAAACTGGTTGACAAGCCCGAGAAAACTTCGAAAGAGACATTGCGACAGCTACCAATTGGCAGACATCTGATATGACCACTGTTTCTTGAGTCCCTGGCGCAAGTGGAACAACAATGTCAAATGACCTACCCAAAAGGGAGTGTGTACGGTCTTATTATCGACATACAGGGTTTTCTCACCAGATAGTATATTCTCCGTATCACTGGTAGCGGACACTCTCGTCAACTTATTCAGTAGGTGCTGTACAGCATATAACCCTGGAAGCCATCGTCAAAACGTGCAGTAAACAAACCAATCTCTGACCTCTCTGACTGTCGTGGAACCAAATGCATAACCAGTTAAAGTTGGAACGACCACCAGTTATGTGTATTTTGAATTATATGCAAACTGTTTTGATGAAGAGGAATCATGCACCAGTGCAGCCAATCAGTAAACAAGGGATGTTATCAGTGTCATATTTGGTGATTTAACCAAACTCTACAGGCCAGCATGAACTCAAACGTAGTATCCCAATTTCTAGAGGTCTAAACGATCGATAATATTTCGAATCTCATGCTCAATGGTCATGGAAGTCAGTCGAACCTTTCACCTGGTCTATACCGGATGCTCTGCGGTAGCGGATGACATAAGATTCTTGGCTCCACGATCACTTGAAATAGGACTGTGGTTGTCTTCCCTCCGATGAATATCTCACCGAACTACTAGAATACGATGCGCACAACAAGCTTGCAAATGAGCAAACACAGTAACTCGTGGTAGATATCTGCAGCTTGACTTGCAGTTACAAACTGAGACCCAGACATAAGTAAACTGTTTTATGGGTGAAATTTGTAGACAAAGCTGCATTGGAACCCACTCTGAGATGGCGCGCGGTTCTTTGCACTAGAAAACATCTTATTCGTGGTTTCTCGAATTTTATAGTTTTCACAATGAAACCTAGTTGATAGCCATTCCCGGAAAACCCTTGTGCCAAAAACTCAGGTCATCCGATCAATGCTAATTGGAGCATATTTTTCGAGCTAGTCCAGGAGGACATCGCAGTAGGCTGAGTTTTTGATGAAACGAAGCAGAGTCAAACAAAACGTCGGAGGGACACAGTTAGTTCTCTAGGTTTCGGTGCGATTCTTGAGCGTCAGGGTAAGTTTGGGACATCGATCATAATGCTCCCGATTGGCGGTAAAACCATTCCCCATGAGTTCTGTAGGAGGGAAGAACTGTGAAACTCGGTGTATGTGGCCAGTTAGAAATTCAGGAAAAGAGAATCGAACGTGTTATAGATAAACACTGATTTGCGGTGTGGCAGTTTAACTGTTTGAAGTGAGCTCTTAGGCCTTTATTCTTATCACCACCTGTCACATCAGGTTAACGATGCTGAAAAATGCTATTCGTAGAAGCAGAGAAGTTATGGATCAATGATGACATCCCTTTTCTGAATAATTATCCACGTAATTTCCATCTACCCACTTTGACAGTGATATTTGGAAAGAGGAAATACTGTTCTCATTAAATACAGTATGCAATACAATTCAACCACCTCGAGGATGTACATTGCTACTTATCTTGAGTTAGTAGCTTAAGAGCAGCTTAGAAGCAAAGCGTAGTCTGCTAGTGAAGTCAACTTATTCTGAAAAGCTGTACAACTGTCTGTTCTCCTCTTGAAACCACTGTGGATGTGCATTCCAAGAACACCGAGGCTGATCCACCTGCAGGCCCCCACAACTGGACCGACTGGCCTAATCCAACCCGCAAGTTATGGACTTCATATTCGATGACTTGATACGCGCCTTTATACCGACACAGTAGATGTCGAATCTAACTTGACCTTATGATAATTTCCCCATTCATTTGCTTACTCCGCCCATGTACTTTTAATTTCCTGTTGTTTTGCTTATTCGTACCCGCCACTACCCTTGCCGCAGAGGCCGTCCTGTCTGACACCTATTTATTGACATGTGTGTCTGTGTGCGTCTGTGTGCTCATGTCCCGTTCGCGGAGCCTGCCTTGACGTGTTTTCTGATGGCTTCCGCGTGACCGCACGTCCATTGAGAGTCACGAGACCGTCGTCGGAAGGAACGACCGCAAACCACGCTACTGACCCATCATTCCGCTCGCCGTTGTTTGGTGCGCGGACGTTGACACTGCACTTTGCCGGTCAGTGACAGACCTGTGAGCTTGTTGACGCTACGAACGTGAACAATTGAGGGTTGTTGTCCATTTTTGCTTGTCCTTGTGTAAATAATACCGTAGAATTAAGAACCCAATTCTTCCTTTTGGTATTCGGAATTATCGAACCTACGCGTCATCCAAAGTTCCGTATGGGGAACTTCAACAGTAGGATTTTATCCAACAGTTTTTATAGGCAGAAATTCACTTTGAGGTTTTTACGACTGGATTGACCAAGATTTAAGGTGCGCTCAAATGTTCGAAAAATTCCCACCTACTTTGTACGTTTGATTTGAAGGACCTCAACGAGGTTGGTCTCCTCAATCTCCAATAGGGAATAATTGTAATCATGGTGATAGCTTTTACACATTGGGTACCTTTTGATTTCAAACATATTTTGTGCTTAGATCATAAAAACATCTAATAAAAAGCTCACAGCTTGACATAATGTTTGAAAACGAATCTTTAGCCAGTGAATATACACATCCAACACACTTTTTCTATTAGGGAGAATATGGGCGCCATGAATTATCGACCACTAAGAGCGCTACATATTACAAACGTAACAAATAGTTGTACACTGACGCTTAACTATTCCGCTAGCTTTGGAAACTCTAGAGCTGGAAATGTGTGCCCGAAAAGGCAGTTGTCAGCCTTATCTTCTCTGTAAAATAAAATCAATCTTTTCCAGATAAGCCCCGCCACTGATGCAAAAAGTGCATGTGAAAAAATTGAGCCCCGCCACCTTTTGCCGGCTTCAGTTCAATGTGCGCATACAACCTTGACATATTTCTGATGAAAACAATTTCTTATCTGCATCTAGACTCATTTTATGCAAAGATTTTCTGCGTTCAGACGTAAAACCTTAAATGTACATTTGATGCTTTCAACTCTCGTTCGTGACAAGGAGACGGCAATACGCTTTTTGTAAATGACACTTTCAACTGTTTCTGACAGGTGGAGGTGGATGCCCGACAGTATTGGCGAGAAATCGGTATTCGAAAGGGAACTTGGCTGGAGCGGTCTATTCATTTTCCACAGGTCCAAAAATTTGGCAAAAATCAA